TTGTGATGTTTTAGAAGTCAAGAAGCGCAACTTTTGGCACCCCAGTGTATATATATATATATACATGCATATACAATTTAACTATTATTTACTTATTGCTGTCTAATGTGTTTTCTTGGGGCATTAAGCCTAGAAGTTCTTTTGGTGGCTCGACATCCGAATCCATCCGATCCATCCGGCCTTGTGCCACCTGTGTTGGCCCACAGCTCACTGGGCGCGGTGGAGGCGCCGCGGCCGCCAAAGTGGGGCCGGACTTCTCGGCCTTCAGAGCCTTGAATTCACCGGGGAAAACACCTTCACCCTTCGAACTCGACACTTTCTGCTATATATATATATATATCTATCTATATATCTATATCTATATCTATATATGTATATCTATCATATATATCGTCATTCTCGAGAATAAAACGAATCAAGTTCAGCATGGTTTAATCCTTCTTCCTACATGATGTCTCGGATGCCTCATTTGTGATGCAAAACAGTTGCTGAGTTCTGTGCTGAAGTGGCCGGGCCTACTGTAGACATCACCACGACCACCGTTAGGACAGCATAGACTTTGTATATTCAAAATGCATGGGATGCTTACCTCAATCTCATGCCCACAATGCTTGATCAAAACCCTTCCAAACGAGGGTGTTTGATTGACCTTGATCAAAACGTCAATAAACGTCACATAAACACCCAACAGGTGACCACTTAAAAACAGGCAACCACTTGTGATAGGAGATCCAGTTCAAAACCAAAAGCCAAACTGATGCAATGATGTATCTGAAGTTTGCCGTGCCCTTTCTCTCCTTTTAGTTACAAACACAAAAGGCTCCAGGACACGACGATTCCCCGAACTCCAAGACGCCGTAAAGGCTTCGAAGATCTTCTCGGTGGTTTGGTCAAAGTACCTTGGCCAAGGCTCCAAATGAGCCGAGTTTACGTAGAGGGACGGTCTCTGCGAAAAAAGCTTAGAGAGACGGTTTAGTGATGTGTGTGTGTGTGTGTCGTTGTTTCTTTTCTTTTTTCTGCGTGGTAAAGAAGGGACCCGCAGGGGTTGGCTTGTAATGATAAATCACATCAGGAAGCAAACATGGTTGGTTTGGACATAGACACCGCTGGAAGATGGGACTTAAATCAATACCTGGTCCGTTCATCCGTCAAGACACTCAAAACCCACTGGGCTGTGGGGATAGTTGGGGTCTCTTGAGCTTCTCATTATAAAGATGAATGTGCAAGATGATCAACATGATTGTATTGTGCCAGGATTGGATGAACACCTGTGAACGATGTCAAATATTCTAAAGCTGCACACTCTGAAAAAGAACAAACAAACTGGTGACATTCTCGTCCAATGGATTGTTGCTACTGTTGATGGGAAAGAAGATCTGGAATGCACTGGTAGGGTTACACCAAAGAAGCTACCCCAATTGCATCCAACTCCAATTGCATCCAACTCCACTGTGAACCCTCTGCAACAAGAAAGACGAGGCGACGCCTTCCCACAGCCGTGTCCTTTCACGTGTCCTTTCGGTCTTCCCAGTGGCTGCAAATGGCTCTGCTGCATCGCCAACACCTGGGCGGCAGGCACGAGCGGGTGACCGGCTCGACGTCTGGACACCGGCGACCGCGACGAGGCAAAGGACACTCCGAATGGTTCCAGGTTGCGAAACACACAAACAGGCACGCAGCTGGCACATGCAGGGATTTTAGAAGGGATCAACAGTTGAGTTCATGTATGAATGATTTAAGATGCTGTAAGTTTTACGAGCTCGAAAACTCAAAGCATCTCAAAGCCTAATGATGCCTAATGACCTAATGACTCCTAATGCATATTGGTTCGAACCTAACCCCTGACTTATCCTTCTCTTGCTTTGGAGTGATTCCATAATCCTATTTAGTCGATGCAAAACTTATTGTTCCTCTTCCGCTTTTCTGCTCTTCCCTTCCCTTGTTGTTTTCTTCCAGCCCTCATACTACTGACCCTCAAGCTTTATGAGACTGATGCCACCAACACCTTTGGCATGCTAGGCCCTCCCAAAACATCCCAAGCATTGCATTCTCAACTCTATGTTAAACATCACCAACCTTCACAAAGTGCCTTCCAAAAGCAATCCACATGATCCAATGTGTTTACCAGTGGTGTCACCCCTCCTTCCATCTGCTGCCCCCCCAGGACCCCTAGTACTCTCACTAGCTCCGTTCGCTAGTATAAGAAACATTCAGCCTACCGGCTGGCTCTCGCAACACTGCTGCCTCCAAAGATAAACATAGATAAACTCTTCCCACTGGACTTGATTCCTGCTGATCTTCCTGTTCATGACCGTGCGCAAAGTTCTTGGGGGTACATAGCTGCCCCCACCCCACCCCACAAACATCTACATGATGCCTATAAGTAGGCCTTTCGTCGTATATATTTGGAACTGATTGACTGTGGAGAATGAAAGCGTTTAACATCGTATTATATTGTTCTGACTTCCCTCAGCACATGTGCATCAGTCTTGGATCCCACTGGACGGAATCACGCCCAAGGAGCTAGGTTGTAAAGCTCATGAACATCTTTCGGCATGGTGCCCGCCTGCGGTTTGTCTCTGTGTGTGTGTGGAGAGAGGCACCCTGTTGCCGCGCAAAAATACCGCGTGCGCATACATTCGATGCCTTGCGGCATCGGACGAGGAGGACAAACTTGTCTCAAACAGGTGGAATTCCGCGCAAAACAATCCAAAAATAGATACAAATAGTTTGTTGCGACTTCGCTCAGCCTGGTTTCTTATGTTTCCTTGAAAGGCTGGGTTGTGGACGCTGAACTACTCATCCAAACTTCCCGCGCGGTCTTCAAACGTACTTATACTTATGCGTGACGAGAGCTCAACCCATCTATAGGTCTATTCTTGTTTGTTTGGGTTGAAAAGGGTGGTTTACAATGTCTTTAACCACTTCTATCGCCTTTAAGCATGTGGTGTCACCCCTTCATGGCAGTCACCATAACTGGTTGGTTGGGTTTGGATCTGTGTGAGATACTTTAGTGTGCAAGAAGGTGCGTTTTGATGTTTCCTGTTGAGGCAGTTACAAGCAGGACAAAGTGTATGGGACATTCCGGATTCCAGCGCCAAGAGCAAAGAGATATGACATCAAAAAGCCTGGACGTGAAATCCAATGCAACGCCATACTTCCATAAGGGCCGTGAAAGTCCAACGATTTGGACGTGTTTTAATGGTAAAATCGTGCACGGACAGATGTCAGTTCGCATCGCATCAGATTGGTATATCCAGGCAGGGCCGCAGGTAGAACTATGATGAATGATGAGGAACTGTGGGATCAATCGATTCATACACATCCCCCATGTGACCGGAACGCCCCGTACAGTGGTGGCTTTGTGGCTTGTGCCTCCATGAGTTTGAAGGCCGTGTTGTGCGAATCTCGGGCGAGGAATCTTGGGCGGGAATCCCCCAAAACGACGAAAAGCACCGCAGCGCCACATTGCACGATGTGAAGCACCACCTTTGCAAAAAGCGAGAGAGAGAGAGAGAATCCCCCTCGCCAACCCCCGAATAGGCTCCTGCACCGCCCCTGCCTGGAAACCGCGGGGCTTGATGATACCCCAAGAGTTCTTGCCATAACCCCTGGGCCGGCCGGAGGAATCGCGTTAGGTCTGTGGACAGGTCGCTGAGAGGGGGGTCCAAATAGTTCCATCATACGGTGGTCGTTCCCTTCTGCGATCCAAATTGCTCACCTTCTGCGATCCTAAAAGTCTGGGATCTTTCTGTGTCATGTGTGGGTCATGTGCCAGTCTGGGGTCGAGCCAAATCAACCAATCAGAAAACAAACAAATGAACCAAATGAACCCAATGAACCAACCAACCAACCAACCAATGAAACGAGCCAGAAAGCAAGCAAAAGACAATCAATCAACCACCTCGAAACACATATCATATCTTTTTCAAACCCAGGCCAATGCCGCAAAAAAAGGAACGCTGGGTTCCTCTGGGCGCCCCGGTCGATGTCATCCCAAAGTTGGCATTGGCAGCTCCAGGAAGCTCAGGCGGTGGCATCATCGCCATGGCCATCGTCGCTGCAACGAATGCGCTCGACGGGCACGCAAGCGGGTGGCGAGCTGCGGGGAGGGCCGATCGGCGCGCTGCGGGCTGCGGCATGGAGGTTCGTAGGTCTGTAATGGTCTGTACATAACTGGAAAATCAAGAAACACAAAGGTCTCCCAAGTGGTCCATGAGCAAAATCGCTCATGTGGGCCGACGAGGTGGTCGGCGGGAGCAACAAACATGGCATTCCAATTGGATTCCCTATATGAGATCGCTCTTGTCCCTATGAGATCGCACCAAAATGATGTCAATTGGGCCATTTGGTGTTTGTGTTCTTCAAGGGAGATATGGTCCTTTCTTGCTTTTGGGTGGCAAAGTCCACATGTACAACCACCATCCTGGAGTAGTAGAACATGAACCAACCCCTAAACATGACCACTTTCCCATTGCTTTTTAGATTCTCTCAGTTTCTATCCACTCCAGGATGACTATAATATAGAGGTTGGATGGCTGAAAAGGGCTGAACATGCCAATGCTCAACGTTGTTTACCCTCCCATCTTCTGCTCGCTCGTCTCATCCACCTCTTCCAAGAGCATCACCTCCTCCATATTCACCTGGCATCGCATCGAAGCGGCGCGGTCGTCGCTGCTCCTACGCTCCTACGGTCAACATCTGATTCTCCTTCTCTCCTTCTGTTTAAGGAGCTGCCTCCGATCTTCTCCGATCTTCGGTCCATCACAGTCCTCCCAATATTCAGAGGCCCATGATCTGAAAGCTCGTTCCTCAAAGAACGTCACATGGGGAACGATAGTTCATGAAGTCGATACTTCTTCTCAACAAGTATGTCCCCGCGGTCGAGAGACCGACCCGAGTCGGATGCGCTTGGGCATAGAAACAAACCTGCACGGTCTCGTGCAGAGAGGCGCAGCTTCTAGAAGCGCCAGAAAATAGGGCGAGATGGCTGAAAGGAACACAAACCTATCCTAAGATTCTAAATCATGTTAAAAACATGTCAAGACACAAAGCATAAGCATAAGTGTTTCAATGTGCACCAGGCCTTGTCAAATGTTAAACACTTTGAGGACGCGTTTCTTTCGGCCTGACCGGTGTTTGGAGGGGTCTAATCTTCGGATGTCAGCCGAAATTGGCCACATGGTCACGTCGCCTGTCCCAGTGAACCACTGAACATTGCCTGACACCACAAATTTCATGGCAACATGTCGCTGACCACCCATTCAAGTTGGTTGTTGTACCCAGTCCCCTCTGCCACTCACAATTGCTCCGGATCGGCCCAGGGCATCTTTTCTTCCAAAACCCCAAAACCATCCCAAAAACCTGTGTCACTGTGACTCTCCTTTTGGGCTTCGCATGGCTTCACATCATCCCCACTCTGTCGCCTCACGTCCCCAAATGAGATGCGCCACCCGTCACGTACCCTGGCCACTCCGTCGCCGGACTCCGCACCCCGTCGGTGTCCAAGACCCATTCTTTGGTCCGCTCGAACTTCCCCGTTCGCGGGTCGTACCTGGTCGTACGGAGTGCACCGAAAAGCGTACCGAAAAAGGGAAGAGGGTCGTCCTTGATCTGCAGGAGGGCTATAATTCCGTATATATTTGTCTTTGTGTTCGATCATGTTCGATCTGCTTGGTTGGCCAAAGGTCACAAAGAGGTGCAACTGGATTGATGTGTGTGTGTGTGTGTCACAAAAGTCGCCCAGCCATAAGCAGTGCAGCCTCCACCCACAACGCTCATCTCGCCCGAGAATCTCAAGAGCCGGGGTGCTTGTTGACATTATCTTCACGCATGAAGACCTGCACGTTGGCGCAAAAAAAACAAGAACACTGGTATAGTCTAGTGAATTAGTGAAGCTTGCTCAAATAGCTTGCTCAAACGGCTCAAACAAAGATAAACGATACACGAACATACACGAAAACATAGATACACAAAGCACATTACATTCCAGGAGTCACAAAGCGACAAAGGGGTGGTGTTTAGTCCCATCCAGTGAGTGGATCATGGCCACTCCTAACCTCCATGGATAGCATCCCGTCTTGTGACTGCTGGTTGATTCATCCTCAAACGATCGCCGTCTCACCTCTCCGCCCGTCCGGCTTCGGCTGCGGTGAGCTCCGAACGGCTTGAACGGCCGGTCCGTGGCTTCACCCGCCTTCTTAATGCCCACGATGCCCTTCAAGGTCATCTCCTTGAGGATATTCGTCTCCACATTCCTGAAGTGATGGTGTTTCCCAGAATCAGACGCCCCAGCCAAGGCCCCGCGACCACGGCGTGGGGGGGGTCTTGGAAGCTGAGGAGTGGTTTGGAGGCACCCGAATCTCACTTTAAGAACAAACTCACTCCAAGCATCGATTTGTTACCCTTCACTCCAACGTCACCAAATCCCGACTGTTACGACTCCATCCCTTCCTCCACCTGAAAGTTTTTCCGCTTCGTTATCGTTTTCAGTCAACATCTTCCTGGAGAAAAAAAACATAAAAAAACATCTCCCTTCGGTGATCCTTATCGATTCAGTGGTGTCCTCAAGAACTTGAAGTTCTTATCCTCCGTGTCGTCATGAGGGTCATAAGGCCCTGGCGCCTTAGACATGGAGACACAGAAAAAAAGAGATGTGGAGACGACCTTCGCTGGGTAGCCCACCCAAAAGATCCAAAGAAGCCAAAGGCAACAACACCCAGAGAGCTTGGCAAACCAAAACAAATGGCAGGCCACTCCTGTTTGATAGGGACTCTGCGTTCCATGCAAGTGAACAATGCGGACATGTGTATAGACATCTATCACCGGGGTTCCTGTTCTTTATCCCTTTTGTGTTTGGCCTTTGCATAGAGCTACACCCCCAGAAACCACTGCATCACAAGGACATGGAGTGTTGTGCACGACGTCGTCCAACTACGGCCATGATTAATGTTTCTGTCTGTCTGACACCAGGACCAAGCTGTGAATGTTCAACTATACCTGTTCCAGGCATACTTCCTGTTACAGCAAGAGATACTCCGTGGCTATACAAGTTGCTCATCCCCACCTTCCACTGGCCATGCTTTTTCAGACTGCTGGCAGTCGGCTCCAGCACAGCACGGCGGAGCAGATTTAGGGCCTTAGGCCCTCTTGCTCCACCGCTCCATGGAGACGATGTGTCCGGCGGTGCCACTCAAAATTGACCCGGTAGCCACGTATTCATAAGGATGGAAAAAGGACAAGTCTGAAGACATTCCAAGATATATTATGATATATTTATTTGATGACATGACCAGTGGCACATCTGCTTGCGGAATGAACACATGACCAACCATGGAAGTTGCGTGACCAAACGAGCGAGCCGTCATGGTTCCGTGGATGGAGTTCTCCATCGGTCCAGGGAAACACATCGCATTCCTCCGCTAAGTCGGAGGATGAAGTCCACTTTCCAAGTCGGAGGGGAACACTTCTAGCATCTTCGGTCGCCAAACTTGAACGGCAGGGACATCATGGACCTAAAACCGACACGATCTGTAGCACCATGGCGGAACAATCGTGGAGTGGTCCGGGTCGAACTTCGCGCCAAAGCCGTGACGACAAGCCCCAAACCCCCCCCCCAGCACCGCAACCCCAATGGTGTGATAAAGCTCTTGTTACTACTAGGAAGGCACTTGTTACTACTAGCGATGCACTTGTTCCCAGTAGCTTCTTGTTACTACCATGAAGGCTCCCAGCCACCCTTTTCTCGCTGGCGCCGTGAGACCGGACACGATGGACATCCAAACCGGACATCCGGACGCTGCCTTCGGGCGAGCACGCTGCGTTCGTTTCGGAAGACATGGCCCAGCCCCAGGCTAAAGAGGTTTTCTGATGGAACAAGGATCTAAAAGGTGTCCAATTGAAAGTCATCTACCAAGGTCACCTGCGGGGTGCAACATCGGTCGATGTGTCAAAAGCTTCATGTTAAATCACTTTCCCTTGCTTTAAACCTCTGCCCATTCCAATCCCATCAGCCCTTTGCCCCAATTCACCCATCAGATCCCATCAGTCTCACTGATCTACCTCGGGGCTGGGCACTGCTCGCGAGTCGGTGGGTGAGTTTCCGCATGGATTTCCAGCGGGAACCCCTAGTCTAGTGCCTGGAAGCTCCAACGAAACTTCAGGCCCTGGGTTGCCACACAGGCCCAGGCTTTCCAGGGCTTCTTCATGCTTCTTCTTCCCATGAACTTCTGGCCACTGTGGATGATGGCTATAGTCTATCTATACATCAGTTCTGGACGGAACAATGTCAATAGCACCCCAGGTAGCCCAAACGCTGTTCCACGGAGGCTTCAAGCAAAAAGTGCCTCATGCATCAGCAAACCAGGGTAAAGCGCCTCATCCATCCACTCATGTGAGACCCTGCATCACGTGATGTTTGGGCCTTCAAACAGGGAAACAATCTGCAAAACGGGATTAGCATTGATTGTGCGTAAATTTCATGCATTGTATAGTATACGCATAATAATGTATGTATGTATGTATGTATGTATGTATGTATGTATGTATGTATG